TTTATGTTCTCATTGATAGCATGCAGACAGCTAAGGAAATGTGGGATGAAATAGAGAAGCTGCTACAAGGCACAAGCATCAGCCTCAAAACCAAGAAGACTACGATTCTCATCGCTTATGACTCCTTCAAAGCAGGTCCAGGAGAACCATTGAATGAGACTTACAACAGACTTGTTCAACTGGTAAATGAACTCAGAAAGATCAAAGTATTCAGGTCCAATCTGGAATTGAATATTAGATTTTTATCCAGCCTGCATCCTGCATGGGAAAAGACAGTGAAGGATGTCAGATCTCGGATAGATTTGGATGAAATTGACCTCTGCACACTCTATGAACATCTGAAGCAATTCGTCAACGAGGTTGCCTGTGCTGAGGATCATCACACCACAAACCCCTTAGCTCTTGTAATGGAGGCTCAGTCGAGAAGGACAACTACTTCACTAAAGAAGAAAAAGAAGAAGGTGGTGGTTGAATTAGATGATGATGAGAGTGACGATGACAAATCTGATCTAGAGGCTGAGCTAGCAGACTTACAGAAAAAGATGGCACTGCTTGCCAAAAGATTTGCTAAGAAGAACAGCTCCTCCAACAGGCTGAGACCTTCCTCCTCAAACTACAAGCAGAAGAACCATGATCAAGGATCTTCCAGGAAGGCATCATCAGCAGAAGAAGCTCCTAAATGCTATAATTGCGGCAAGTCTGGACATGTGATCAAAGACTGCCGCCTCCCAAAGAAGAAAGATGCTAACTTCTACAAGAAGAAGATGCTGTGGAATAAGCAGAAAATGCTGATGGTGCAGAAAGAAGAAGAAACCTCTGCCATGATTGCTGAGAATGAGAACTGGGCAGAAGATTCTTCTGAGGAGGAGGAAGAGGAAGACAACTATGCCCTTATGGCAAGTGTGGAGGGAGATGAAATAAAGGGTGATGCTACGATCCCCGAAAGCAAGTGCTCAACAAGCTCTGTAAGTACCTCACATACTTCTTTAAATAATCAAATGCAGTCCTTACTTGAAAAGGACAATCTAATCAAAGAACTAAAGGAGAGACTAGACAATAATCACAGGGTTCTGAAACAGAATCTAGACCAAAAGTCTTCCTTAAGTGTTCAACTTGAAATTGCAAAAGATCAGGTCAAAAAGGTGTCCTCAGATTTTGAAAGCTTTGAACTGAAGATAGCTGAATTAACTAGGAAATTTGAGGACAGTGAACGGGAAAAAAGCACAGCAAAGGCTGAATGCGATTTTTTGCATAACAAAAGAAGAACGCTTTTAAATAAAGTAAAAGAACTAGAGGATCTAGCTGCTAGAAGAGGTCAATCTGAACAAACTGTTTTTCTGCTTAACAGCAAACAAAAGGATGACCGATTCTACAATGCTAAAACAGGACTGGGCATAACCAACCCACGTAATCTTAAGAAAGTTAACTGTCTTCAAATCTATAACAAAGATTACATGGGACTAGGGTTTGGCGAGAAAATGTATTTTCGAAGCGATGAAGACTATGCTGAAGCAGAAGAAGAAAAGAGAAAGAAACCAAAACCTGCGATTTCTTGTGATTATCCCTCTGTAAATGAAAAACAACTTTCAGAAGAAAAACCTACTTCCTGCTTTAGTGAATGCCTTGACCCTTATGCTAAAGATATTCCTCACATAGGACACCCTCTAGACCCTCCCCCAAGAGTAGGTATTGCGGACGTCCCGGACGGGACCTCAAATGACGAAGAGACCCAGGGCGGGACCCCAATTCCAATCCCGCTCGGGATGACACCAGAACCAATCGGGGCGGGATCTATGACGACCCCGGAGGACGAGGAAGAAGAAGAAGGGATGAGTCGGCAAAGGTACAGAAACATACAGGACATATATGAAGCAGCTCCAGAGGTTCACATGGTATGTCTTCTAGCCGATGGGGAGGATATTACTTTTGAAGAAGCCAAGCACGATGAAAAATGGAGAGATGCCATGAACGAAGAAATAAAAGCGATTGAGAAGAATCAGACCTGGGAACTTACCAATCTCCCGAGAGGTCATAAGCCGATCGGAGTCAAATGGGTGTATAAGAAGAAATGCAATGCTGAAGGTATGGTCGAGCGATACAAAGCTCGGCTTGTTGCAAAAGGTTACAAGCAAAAGGCTCGGAATGAGAGACCGAAGAGAATTAAGATTAGGGGAGGAATTTGTTGGGATTAATTAATTAATCTTAATTAGTTTACTTCCTAGGGAACATAAATTATCTTTCCCTACTTTTATTGGAAAGATGAAAGGTCTTCTTGGAAAGGTAAATTGTATTTCCTAGGGATTATTTTACTCCACTTGTAATGCCTATATAAGGACACCAATTGTAATGTTTTATCAAGTGGAATATAATACATTCTCCTCCATTCCTTTGAGTTATAAGTTAGCCAAACACTTAGAATATTTTCGGATATTCGGGGCCTTCAAATTGGTATCAGAGCCACTGTTGAAGAAGAAGATGGCAGCCACCATGTTCGGCCAACTACCTCAATTGAAGAAAGCAAATTTTGACCGATGGAATGCTCAAATGAGAGCACTGTTGAAGTCACAAGGAGTATGGGATGTTGTCGATAATGGCTACACAACACCGGAGGAAGGAACCGTCTTGACGGTTGCCCAACAAGTGGAACTCGAAGGAGCACAAAAGAAGGACCAAACGGCACTGTTTTGGTTGCTTCAAGCAGTGGAACTCGAAGGAGCACAAAAGAAGGACCAAACAGAGGTTGTTAGAACGATGAGTGCGCGGGAGTGGTGCCTCCGTGCCTGACTACCTGGTGAACTGCTGGGTCAACCATCCGGTTACGATGGTTGTTTGTGGTGTCTGGTTGCACCAGAGTTTGGTGGATTTTCCAAGTCTTTTTTCACATCGGAATGAATGCTTAAGGCGACGGAACACAAGCACCAGGGTTTTGCTCTTTAAGATTCTTGATTTTTGGCTCATGAAATATAAATTTGGTGCATTAGCCCTTGTGATTTAAAAAATGCGTGAAACGTCTCTATGTTTTAATTAATTATGCGCAAAACCCCTTTCAAGAACAAATTTTACAATTTTGAAATAACTTTTTTTAATAATATGGTTGAATATGCAAGTAACTTTGTCAACATTTCTAAATTATACAAAAAAACTAATCATTTTTCATTTTTTGGAAATTAAATTTGTTCTTGGAAGAGGTTTGGCCCATGATTAATTATAACACAAGGGGGTTAGACGCATTTTTTAAATCATAGGGGGCTAACGCGTTGAATTTATATTTCAGAAGGGGGTTTGGTGCATTAAACCCTTTAATCCATCACTTAAATTTTTATACTAAAAAAATTATATAAAGAAGCTTACTTTAATAGAAATGACCAATTCGGTCATTTTAGAGTTTTTGACCTGTAATAACTAGTTTTTTATATTCAAAATCTCAAAAAAGTTGTTAAAATATGAAGATATACATATACAAATTCTGAAAAATTTCAAATTGTCAAAGCCAATATTATATTTTTGACATTATCACATTATTTTTTCAGTTTTCTGATTTTTTATTTTTTCATTTTTATGTTTTTAAAATATTAATCTTTTTTTACATTTATATATTTTTAACTTTTTTTTAAAGTTATATTAACTTTTATAAAATTTATCAACAATCCTAATTTTGTTTTTCCTAAAAAACATGTTATAGCAGGTAAAAATAACTTGATTGATTGTATTTCAAAAGCAAACATACTTATATTTGTACACTGAAAAATATAGAGCGGTTCCGGTAAGAATGAACTTATAATGAGAACGAATCTGGACCAAATTCTGAATGAAGCGGTTCCGGTAAGAACGGACTCTCAGGAGAAAAATGAGAACGAATCTGGACCGTTGGATTGTATCATGTTGAACTAAATTGTGCTTTTGGTGAAATTGAAATGTGCATTAAATGATATTGAAATGTGCGGAATACAAATTTAAACTCAAATGTGCATTAGATGAAACTTAAATGTGCGAAATAAAAGGTACAAAAATAACATCACACCGTACATTTTATTCTACACATTTCAGTGTCACCTAGTGCACATTTCAATGTCAACTAATGTACAATTCAACTTCATATAATGTCACCATATGGTATCATTTGTGTTGCACATTTCAATTTCACCTAATGCACATGCATTACAGTTTCATCTAATGCACATTTAATTCTACATAAAGCAAATCTAACGGTCCAGATCCATTCTCATTTCTCCTAAGATCATGTTCTTATTTGAACCAAAACCTATATATATATATATATACACACACACATACTACCCCCATCCCATTAGAAGGTTCTCGTCCACTATTCACATGGTCAACTTAAATCATTTTTAATCTTTTACTTTATAAATCAATTTTTTATCAAATTTACATTTTTTTATCAGGCTTTGGAGCGGTTTTAATGTAGTTTCTGAATATGTTAATTTTATTTACTAAAAATAATCAGAGTGTGAACAGGGATTAAGTTGTTTTATCGTTAATCAAACATCGTAAACTGTCAACGGGAACCTTCTAGCGAGACGGAGGGAGTAATAAATATAAAAAAAACTGCAAGGGACCAAGCCCCTTACTAGTTTCGCCCCTGCTTATACCTTATCGATGTATGACACATAATCTAGCAATATTTTGAGAAAAAGAGAGTCATATACTCCAGGGAGGTTCCGTTTGCAAGAAGGGGGGAATTATGATGATGGAGGCAATCTAGTAATGTAACAAGACGGGGATTTATAATTGTTTTAACGAGCGTAGCCCCAGTAAAAAGTTCTAATGAGGGTGGGAGCAAATTGTTGAATTTCAGGAAAGGCAAATTGCTACTAAGTAATAACTCCTCTCATGATGATGGATTGATGCAGGCACTTAGGCCAAAATTGTTGAGGCAAATTGAAGTAAGCTTTAATACAATGACAATGATTTTATGTCACACAGTACACGGACATTGCAAATGGCTTTATTATCATTGCAGTAATATGTATGTGAGTTTCCAAATCCTTCATTTCTTACATGACAAGGGGATGAAGCGTCCTAACCTCCACTTATAGGAGGAATAATGGCAAGCTCATCTTTGTCTTTGACAATGGTAGATTCTGTGGTGTATTCCATGTTCAGGGCAAGGGCCATGCAATTACGTATCTCTTGCAATCCCGGAAACTTGATGATAACTTTATCCAAGCAATCTCTGGCAGTGCTGCCCAACGAAACTTGCAGAGGCATATTCTTCAAGCCTGTGAGGTCAGTGGCACGAGCAAAGAACAGAACATTTACATGTATATTCGCACCCCCTTTTGTTTGCAGCAAGCTTTCACCCTCTTCCACCTCATCTTTTCCGTGCACAACATCCATTATTAAAAAATAAAACCTGCATAGAAATTGGACAGGGCAGCAGTAAAATATTATACAGTATATCATCATCTTCATTACACATTCATTCATGTATTGACAATTTCAACAAACCAGAGTCTATGCAATGCATTGATTTTACATCAAAGTTATCAAAAATTATGAATGCAAGAATGAAAATGTATGCAATCTTACAGGAAAGATTCACATTTCCATAATAATGCGTGACCATCAAATTCCCTAAGCATCAGTCAATCCATGCAATTTTCGACGCGGTTTTTATCATGGGTTATCCGGAAGCAATCTCTATGTGCTTTAGTAGAGCCTTTGAAGCACAGGGGTAATGTTGTTGTTGTGTGTTTGGTTGTGATATTTGTTTGGGAAGGGGACGTGAGGATTGATTTTGGTTTTATTATTTTGTCTTCATTGATTAATCTTAAATTACAAAATTGTTATATGTTTAATTAATTGATCTACTTCTATACAAATCTTCATCTAAATTTTCTTTCAATCATCCAAAAGTAATACTACTTCATTGAATAAAAAAACAAAAACCACTCTTCCCTTCCCTCTCCCAATATCCCCCAACTAAACAAAGGCAAAGAGAACTTTCGTCATTAGAAGGCCAGAGACCCTAATTTGCAAATCATCTAATGCCGCTTTTGTGTTGAACAGGGGGCATCTTGATTAAGAACTTATAGACTCTTTTGAGGCTCACTTCTTAAATTGCCAGCAAAACTAAGTGGTTTCATTGGGAGCATTGCTTAAAAGACATTCTTGAGGCGTGTGTCAAGTTTCATCTCACTGTGAGGCGCTAAATAAACTTGTTGACGCACCTCAAGTGATTTGATTGAGGCTTACGCCTCCAGTGGACCAAGACATGGACCTCAAGGCGTTTTGCGAGGCATAAGTGTTTTAAAAAACTACTTATGTGGTCATGGGGGTATTACTTGAATATGAATGGAAGTTACGCTGAGCTTTTTTATTCTTTACTCAACAAGCTTTAAGCCTAGTAAAAACCCTTAGATATATTCTTCATGTACACAATTATTTTAATGTTGCTTTTATTCTTTTGATATATATCTAACATTCCACATCACACCACCTCAAACTTATTTAAAGCGAAAACCGAACCGATAGGAATCTAGCTTAGTAGGCTATTAATAGAAGGCTTTAATGCACCAAACCCCCTCCTGAAATATAAATTCAGCGCATTAGCCCCATGCGATTTAAAAAATGCATCAAACCCTCTTGTGTTATAATTAATCATGCGCCAAACCCTCTTCAAGAACAAATTTAATTTCCAAAAAATGAAAAATGATTAGTTTTGTTTTGTATAATTTAGAAATTTTGACAAAAGTCACTTGCATATTCAACCATATTATTAAAAAAGTGATTTCAAAAATGTAAAATTTGTTCTTGAAGGGGGTTTTGCGCATGATTAATTAAAACACAGAGGGGTTTCACGCATTTTTTTAATCACAAGGGGCTAATGCGCCGAATTTATATTTCATGAAGGGGTTTGGCGCATTTAACCCATTAATAGAAATAATAATAGTAGTAAGTGTACTTGTAGTAGTATAAATAGAAGGGGAGTGGAGAAAATAGGGAGGCAAGTATTCAATTGGAATAGGCTTGGAGACTGGGCATCTCGAATTGTCTGAGGCTACGTATTCCTACTATTCTCTTCAATAAAGATTTCTTGATCAGTTCTTGATCAATTCTTTTGGATTCTCTATTGTTCTTAGTCGTATTTTACCAGTGATCTATCACGAACATAAGCAAGGAGGTTGAGCTTTCAATAAAAGCGAAAGCATGTAGCATACCATTGCATAATTAAGCCAAAAACACATAACTAGTAGCCATAGTAGTAATCATAATAGTAATAGTAGTGCTAATTACTCATGTTAACACATAACTTGCAAATAAAATCAGGCAAGGGTACAAATACTTAAAGCAATTACTCATTAAAACAAGTTTTGATTCCAAAATTGCTCATTAACATATTGCTCATTCTAGAAAAAAACTAAAACAATGAGCATTAATCAAGAACATATTTTAAAACAATTTTTACATATTGTTCATTCTAAATTTTACATATTGTTGATTAACTAACACTGAATTTTTTATGAGAATCATGGACTAAACAGAATAAACAAAAGCTAATCATGGACTGAAGTAGAGTGAACAATCATTATCACAAGTTTAATCATGCCATCATGGACTGAAAATCTGATTTTTTTTTTCAAAATAGACAAAAGCAGAGTAAATGGCAAATTAAAAAAAAAAAAAAAAGAGGGCTGGGGACTTTACAAAGTGGCAGGGAAAAATGTAAAAGAAAAATAGACAAAGAACGATAGAATCTGGGAACTTTAAATTCAAAAGGAGTACAAGTCACTGAGAGCATTCATCATTTTCATTTACCCCAGTGCCGCAAAGACACCTACGGTGGGGTAAGGGGGGTCGGATGTACGCAGTCTTACCTCTGTACTAAAGCACAGAGAGACTGTTTCCGGATGACCCATAGTGAAAATCCTGTCCAAAATTGCATGGACTGACTGTTGCTTCATAACAAAGAAGCGCAGACTTTTATAGGAGAGGATGGCTAACTTATGGGTTACAAAGAATCTAATGGGCAGATATACATTTGTGGCCCATATTACCCATTTAATTAATAACTACACAAATACAAAGATATTTAATTAGATTGGACATCATAAAATATTCCTAACAATCTCCCCCTTGGTGTTCAATCGTGTTCAATCGACATTGTAGCGCAGATATCTTTGTCTTTTCAGTGCAGCTCAGTTTCCTTTGACTTGCTTGTAAACCTTGCCTTCCAGAAGTCCGAAGGCACCTCTAGAATGAATGTTCTGACGATTTCCAAGCGCGCACGGGGTCTATCTTCAGTATACGAGTATCTAACCTTTATCTCCTTCACAATAGCTGGTTGTATTAGAAGTTTTTATTGGCTGATGACATGAGCTTGTTATAAATAAATGTTTGGTAAAATTAGTTGTTTGTAAATAGCTTTTAGGGTGCTAAAAGATGTATAATGACATGAGTATATTTTTATTAGTTTGTGTTTTTTGTATAATAATAATTTTATGAGTAGAATAACTTTTTTTGGAAGATAAGTAGAATAACTTAGAAAGTAAAATATAATCAAGTGTTTGACATTTAAAATGATTACCTTGAATCACAATAACAAATTAAAATAAATATAATGGGATATTTTTAGTCGAATAAAATGATTTTACATTGCAAATAATTCTAATACAATCAAACAAAAACAAGTGTCGTGCGTCACACACAGTTATCTTCCTTAATTTAATAGTTCTTTGATTCTGTGATTATTTTATCCCCTAGGGTGTAACTAAAAGAAGTGAAAAGCGCAAGAAGATTATCATAGACATGAATTGATTTTAGCAAGGCAAATTCACGAACACATTCGATGCATTCCTTGAGTGATAGCAAATCATATATACAAAAAAGTCTACACACTCATACTATCAATAATTAAATAATAATCAAACTGAAACACCATAATTGTTGTAACCTCATAACATAAAGAACAAAATTTTTAAAAAATGATAAGATGTAGTCGTATCATAAATTGAAAATGTTAAGACTGGTTTAAGATGTTTATCCAAAATTAGTGAAAATTAATTGAACATACATACCTATGAAAGATTAATAGGATGACTGAATGAAAGATCTTCTGCCTTGATTAAGAGATAAAGGAACTTCACTGAGGAAGAGAGCAATACACCGCGAGTCTTGATGAATGGCTCTAGAGAAAATGAAGGGTATTGTAGAGTTTAAAAGGATAGAAATAAATTTCTGTCAAGTTTGTCATTTCAAATAATTATAACTATACATAAAACTAATTATAAGAATAATTAAAATTATACCTATAATAACAATTATGATTAGGATTTTGATTATGATTATGATTATAATAATGATTACAATTATAATTGCAATTATAATTATAATAATTATTATACCTATTAAGATTGATGGATAGTGTACCCGGGTAGCTTATCCGAGGGGTTATTACGGGGAATAACAAGAGAGAAGTCAGAGCAAGTAAGTATAGAGAGAGAAAGTATATTGGAGAGTGTTCAGCGTTTTTAGCGTGGTTACAAATGGGGAAATGTGGTGCTATTTATAGTAGCAATAAATGCCGGACAGGGACACGTGTCAAGCGTCCATTGGCCGAGAGGTCACCTCAACTGGTTGGCGCTGGCAACCGCATGTGGCCGCATTTAATGCGGCTGTTGGATGGGACGTTGTACAGGGTACGGTGATCTGTACGCATGTGGCGCGGATATCATGTCGGGAAAGGTGGCCTCGGCTGTAGAGGACTAGCCGAGGGCTCTGAGTACCGGGGACCCCCTTGGTGCCGAGGGCTCCAGGTGCCGAGGGCTACTGATTTTCGCCGTTTTTCCCAGTAACTTTGTTTTGCTGTCTTGGCCCTCCTGTGAGAGTTAGAGCCTTCGGCCAGGGGGGCGAAGGCACCCCTGGTGCGCATTTGTGGGCTGCTTGGTATCTTGGGCGCCGTGATTTGGGCCTGTTATGTTTCCTGGGCCTATTGGGCCTTTATTGGAGTAGTAGGAGTCTGTGGGCCGGGGGTTCCCGGGCCATATACTCCATCAGGAGTCCCTCACTCCTTTTGCCGAAAGGTACTTCAGGGAAAAGGAGTAATTGTGTTTGTCCTCTGTCGTTGTTTCGTTTGTAGTTTGTAGAGTTGTGGGTAGTTTGCTGTTTGTTTATTCTGCCGAGGGCAGTCCCTAAGTTACCCACATGTCGGGACTTGAGGGGTCATGTTTGTGATTTTTGTGATTTTTCCCGAGGGGGTCCTCCAGTCCCCCACTCCTTGAGGCACTTGCAAAGTGGTGAAAAGGAGTAGAGTAGTTGCGTTGCTGTTGTGGGGCCGAAGGCTGACGCTTTTCGTTTCATTTTGGGGGGATGCCTCGTTAAAAACCTCATTAGGAAAAACCCTGTGGGAAAAAATCCTAATGAGGGAAA